ACTGGCACGTCTGCCATTAGATAGGAGCTTCGTGCTCAACTTAGTTATCAATCTTATCATATTAGTTTGACATCTTTGATCCAAGTAACGAGTTCACTTCCAAGTGAACAACCCGATAGTCTTCTTCTTATCATAGCATACCAACCAGCGAACACCCAGCCAAGTTTAGTTAGCCAGTTTGAGTATTCGTTACACGAGTTCACTTCCAAGTGAACAACCCGATAGTCTTCTTCTTATCATAGCATACCAACCAGCGAACACCCAGCCAAGTTTAGTTAGCCAGTTTGAGTATTCGTTACATGGCGGTAAGAACCGTCACAGAAACTTGCCCCCGCGAATATCCTTATATCCAGGTTTTTCTGTACCGTAATAATTAGTATATTAGGTATTATTCGTATATAAGATAAATTAAGATAAGAGAGAAGGTTTTAGTCTAGACCACTAATCTTATCTTATAAGTTTAACTAATAGAATCGTACTAAATTACCTTTTATTAGCCTTTAATGAAGTATAAAATCAATAAAGATTAATTAAGACTCTACCTAAATACTATTATTTCTTATAGGCTAGTATAAACTCGTCCTTATTATCGCTATTTAGTATACCTTTAATATTTATACTTATTTCTATAAAACCTACCCTTTATATTTTATTAGATAAAATTAGTAGATAAAAGGGGTAAGTAATAGGCGAGGGTGTATACCTTATTGTCACGAATCACGTAAGCATGTGACAAGTGAAGACCAGGCGGCGTCCTGACAGGTCGAGCACTATCATATCTCTTATAGCAAATAGGGATGCTTAGACTAGCTAAGCGATCCAGGGATTTCATTACATTGTAATCACGTGACCATTTGCATCGCCAGTATCGACAGGCGATGTAGGCGACGGCGGAACATGAAGGTTCTATATAAGACTGGCACATCTGCCATTAGATAGGAGCTTCGTGCTCAACTTAGTTATCAATCTTATCATATTAGTTTGACATCTTTGATACAAGTAACGAGTTCACTTCCAAGTGAACAACTCGATAGTCTTCTTCTTATCATAGCATACCAACCAGCGAACACCCAGCCAAGTTTAGTTAGCCAGTTTGAGTATTCGTTACACTTATAGGAGGGCCCGGGGTTTTTACAACCGTCGTATAAGCGTTAGGTATCAGCCTCCGTTCTACGAGCGTTCTAGGAGCGTTCGCTATTAGTAATCGTTCCGAGGGATAATTAGTATAGTAGCTAATTATTATTCTATATAATCATTCTACGATTATTACTACTTATAACTATTCGAATTTAGAGAACGGTGATCCCTTATAAGTATCCTAGGACAATTCTATAACAGTTCTCGAGAACCCTTATAGATACCATACGGAGTAGGGGTTATATCCCTTCCAGAGTATCGAGACACAAAAAAAAACGTACACTCAAAGTGGAGTAAGAGTGGAGTAAAATATCCACTTTTACAACATCTTCCCCGTAGAATACAAGTCATTTGCCCAACCAGGCAACGGTTCCAAGTATTTGAGCCTCAATCCGACCCAATTATCGTATCTATTTCTATCCACTTTAAGTGCGCGTTTTTTTTGTGTCCCGAAACTCTGGAAGGGATAGACGAATATAAGTACTCGGTACTACTCCTATAGGCTCAACCTTAACGCTATACAAATTTAGGTTTCAGAATCGCTCGATTCGGACAAATTTCCCCTGCGCGTAGTAACAGCGGCGTCGCACGCACTACGTTGCTATAAGTACACTTGCTATGTAGGTACAGATGAAGGTATGCGAGTGAGGGCATTCAGAGTCTTAACACCTCCCCACCTGCCTAGGCAACTAGGGAACGCTCCTAGGACGGTCACGCAAAGATAGAACGGTTATCTAGGGTAACAATTACTATTAAAAATGATTGAATAATCTTTAATTATACTCATACTATTTATTGGGTTGAAAGGGTATTGGGTACTGAAGGTCATGGAGAATTGATTGCCTTGTAAAAGGTAGCTATCTAAGGTGTTTATATAAAGAGTGTAAGGTTTAGGCAGACATGAAGCATTTAGGCAGCAGAACTATAAGTGGATCAAATAAGGAAGTGGAGCAAAAGAGAAAGTAGACCCAGCACAACACTATTATAAATACTACTAGTTTCTTTTACATAAGTATAATACGAGTGTTACGGGGCGGTTATCTTTTTCTTATACTTAACCTTTTTTAATTTTTATATTACGGTTATACAACGGTCGCCAAAACCCCGGGCTCTCCTATAAGGTACGAAAGTAGGATTAGTTATAGAATTATGAATTCCAGGACTCCTAAGAGCGAGATAATAAAGTACCAGAAAAATCGAATTACTCCTACGCTAATTAATAGTTCAAGCTCTAACGAAGTGAAAGATATAATATAAACCTTATACTTTATTCGCTACTAATTCTTCACTAATATCGGCCTGCCAAATCTCTCCTATAATTGTAAAATTTATTATTGATACGCTAAAAAACTTTACTACTAAAATTAAAAAAACGGTTACTAAATCACTCTATTAGGTACTACTTTTTAAATAAGATATGGTTATTTTCGTCATTTGACAGACTTTTTGATTATTATATAGTATCTTATATACCAATTAACACGGTATAATCGAGGTTTTCCTCATACCCAGTATCCTCAGCATTTTACCTTAGAAAATCGGGACCCAAAATTTAAAGGTATAACCGAGGCTTTCTTATATCCAGTATCCCTTATCCCTTCTAGAAGTAGACTACTGTATCGAGTGCCAAAAAAACGTGTACACAAAGTGGAGTAAAGGTGTCCACTTTTGTAACATCTCCCTTTTAAATTAAGGCTCTGTGTACTCAGAAAATATCGCCTCAATATCGTCCCACTTTTCCCTGAAACTGGCCGCATTTGGACTCCTCCGACACTCTCGAAATCCGTCCACGTACAGACGCTGTCGATCATGTTTTTGGACCCACACGATATCGCGTCAAATCGTCTTTAGTGGTAATATCGATTTGTTGGTCGCGACTAACAAATCGTCCTTTATATCCTCCCAAACCGGCACAAAACGCACATTATAGCACTGTCTAGGCTCTATAGGATGTCTAATTACTAGTACAGCTCTAATATAGTAAAGACATTGTTGGTTTGACTTATCGTCAATAAATGGGTGATGCAACGGACCTACATTATGTGGTATAACTAAGTCCTATGTTGTTGTTGCATGCCGAGGCAAGTGTAGCTGGCTAAGTCCCTGCGTACTTGTAGGTGCCAAAGTACGCTAGTCCGAAAGGAGCAGATACGTGTAACGAATACTCAAACTGGCTAACTAAACTTGGCTGGGTGTTCGCTGGTTGGTATGCTATGATAAGAAGAAGACTATCGGGTTGTTCACTTGGAAGTGAACTCGTTACTTGTATCAAAGATGTCAAACTAATATGATAAGATTGATAACTAAGTTGAGCACGAAGCTTCTATCTAATGGCAGACGTGCCAGTCTTATATAGAACCTTCGTTCTCTCTACATCGCCTACATCACCTGTCGATGTAGTCGAATCAAAGATGTCAAACTAATATGATAAGATTGATAACTAAGTTGAGCACGAAGCTTCTATCTAATGGCAGACGTGCCAGTCTTATATAGAACCTTCGTTCTCTCTACATCGCCTACATCACCTGTCGATGTAGTCGACCTCCTATCGCTAACATCGACTGTCGATACAGGCGATGCGATTGATCACGTGACTACATACACGAGAAATCCTTGGATCGCTTAGCTAGTCTAAGCATCCCTATTTGCTATAAGAAACCTGGATGTGCCTGTCGAGGGTTGCGCCTCTTTATTATGACAAGTATCACGTGAGAACGTGATTCGTGACAATACGCTCGGAGCTAGCTAATAACCATTCACTATTATGAACCGACAGACAGTTTTATTTATTTTTTGTTTCTAAATATTAGGGACTAAAGCAGCTATTCCCGATCGAATACGCTAGCTTATATACACGTGCCTTATTACCCTTAGGTTCTAGTACCATAAATAATTGTATAAGAGCCTATAGCTACAGCGTGCGTAGCCTGAAGCAGATTCTGCAAAAGAGCCTCGCTTAAGCCTCGGGTATTGTGGATCATAGTGTGGATCAAGGACCCATGGTACACGCATATAATAAAGTGGGACTATATTTTCGACGATAGTTTCTGAGTACACAGAGACTAAAGTCCTTTGGCCAACCAGGCCACGTTTCCAAGCATTTTAGCCTCACTTCGGCCCACGTATCAATCCACTTTAAGTGCACGTTTTTTTTTTTGCACTTGGCAGTCTGGAAGGGATATCTTGGTTTGTCTACATTTCTTTGATTGTTGCAACCAAATTTCACTGAAATTCGTGCTCTATTGATATTTCAATCCCTAGGGCAAGATTCTGGGCTGTTCTGCCCCGTACTCCTTATATCTTCATGTCTGCTTGTGACGTGAAAGAGGCTGCTTCACGCATGAATCCTCAGTCATCCATGAAGTATTCAAAGCAGAATGTCAAGGTCTATAGGATAGGACCATGGGTATAAAATCTTAGAGCTATAGTAGCCTAATAGGTTACTTCAACAAGACCGTGCTTGTAGATTAGATTAAAGCTAAGCTAAGGATAAATATTTATATTACTGCCAGAGCTCTAGAATACACCCTCTTTCAAATCACGTTTCTGGCCTATATACTACTTGTAGTAAAAATTCGGACTCGATGGATTTCCAAAAGCAGGTTCTCTCCTGAAGCCAAAAGGAAACATGATGCACCCTAGACAGAGTTTAGAATCTGGTCTTCCCACTCGGTCAATAAGCTCATGATCTCTACTGAATGTGTCCAGCCTGGTGATGGTCTTGGGGCTTGCTTCAGGCCGGCGTTGATGCAATTCTCAACTACTCGTACTTGGCAATCGAATGCGTCGAGCTCGGAAGTAACATAGATGTCTCTGGTTTCACCGCCATACTGACGGATCTCGATGATGTTGTCGCCAGCCAGTGGTAGCCAGGGGTTGGTCTTGAAGCGCATAGACGCTTTAGAGCCGTTGATGGCAAAGGCAAAGTCGTTGCCAAAGCTGTCTGTAGACTGTATGGTGGCGAGTACGCCGTTGGAAAATCGCACAGCTAGCGCAGCATCTTGCACACTGTGTACACCGTCCTTGTTTATGTTACCAGTCCCAAGTACTTGGCGGCCACTGAACGCTTCGCTTCCAAAGGCTGTTTCGCTAATGAAATGGACCAGAGAGACAGGATAGCAACCCAGGTTATAGATAGTACCCTTACCTAGAGGGTTTGCCTTTTGGCCGATGTTGGCAGCATAGTGCCCTGACATGGAACAGATGGTGCCCAATTCGCCAGACTTGACAAGCTCTGCCACCTTTGTCATCAATGGGTGAGAAAGGTACATCAACCCCTCGAGAAAAAATGTGTTGGCCTCCCGCACGGCATCAACCATTGCATGCGAGTCTCCCATGGTGGTCGCCAAGGACTTCTCCGACAAGACGGGTTTGCCTCGCATCGCAGCTGCAATCGCTGTCGTGGCGTGGAGGTGACTGGGCAGGCCAATGTAGAAGGCGCCAACGTCGGCATCGTCAAGTATGTTGTGCATAGAAGTGAAGCTTTTCGTGATATTGTACTTCTCTGCGAAGCCCTTCAACCGCGCCTCGTCTCGGCCGAAAACGGCTGTGATGCAGGAACCATGGCTCTTCTGAATGGCTTTGACCACGGTGTGAGAGATGAAGCTGGTTCCAAGGATTCCCCGCCTGAGCATGATGAATTATGATCGGATTTCGTAGTACGCGGGCAAAGTCTTTGGGCTACGGCAAGATTCCGAGATCAGAGGCAGAGGCAGAGGCAATGGCTTATTATAAGTCTCTGTTCACTCAGAATATTATGCCTCAACATAATCCCACTTGTCTATTCAACTAGCCGTATTGAGACCTCTCCGAGCGCCTTATGCATCCTCTAGCCTAGTGCAAATTACGTCTACGTACAGTACGGAACGGACTTGATCGGATAGGGTCACTATACCGCAACCTAAAAATAACCAACCAACAACCAACAACCCACATTCTACAATTTTTACTTGTTACATAAGCAGAACCAAAAAGAACTGCTTGCTCTAAGCTAGTACGGTAATATCACCAGTGATATAGTATAATATATTTGGTTTATTATTCGTCTAGGGTTCTAAGAGAGTGTAATATTATTGCTAAATATATATACGTATACTATCCTAGACAATATTATATGACCGTCCTCCTTTCTACCCTTGGACCTGAATGGATCGACAATTAGTGCGAGTTCGAACTCCATATAAGTAGAACGTATAGTACTTGAAATATTAATGAGAATAATAATGAAGTCTAGATACTAATTAGCTAGTATAAATAAATTCTTCCCGCGACTACCTGAAAGCTTGTTACTATAGCTATTTTATAATTTCAAACATGGGGTTACAACCTACTAATTGTTACCGCTGGATATATAAACCTACTATTACGCTAACTACGCTAATCAATAACCCCATAAGTTGCTGTCCCTACATGAAGCCGATTAATCCACGTTTGTTTTGCTTGAAGTAGGGCTTGTTTTATAGTATCAAAGTCAGAGCATAGCTTGCAATAGGAGGAATGACTCTGGTAAGTTTTACATTGCGAAAAGTCAACCAGCTTACAATTATCTCACTACGAAAGATTGGGATTGGGGAAGATCTTTGCCGAAGTTGTAATTATATGACACCCGCGACGGTAAATATTTCGATTTCGGCCCTTGGGATATCGTTACTTATTATCAAATCCTGTCAGTTAATTTCTCCGTTGTCTAACGTACAGTGATTAGCATACATATGTTCAAATTTCAGTTATTATATAGCTCTGCGTTGCGTACTCTCGTGACTCAACTTAAATAATAACATCGCGTCTTTGAACTTTACAACCTTTGAAAACACTGCATATTACTAATCTATAGGTTCCGTCTTAAAACCTGTGTAATATATGGTATATTTTGAGGGTTTATTACTTGCTGTGCTTGTCTGGGGACCAAGTGCTAGGTAGGTACTATTCTCTCCGTGCAACTTACTACCTGTGCCACACACCATACAGTGACTACTAAAATATCGTCGCATCATTTTTTAGTAAATATAACATGAAAATCAACACAAGAGAGCACTCTTCACTTTCACCTCACACTTCTTTTGTCTGTTGCGTTCTGCCACCGGACTGGCTGGTTCCTAGTATATCACACATAGTAATGAATATTTATTTATAGTTCACCTTCCACGACAACAAATTTAAGGATGCCACAGTATGAATGTCGTTTTAAATCAGCAATAGTAAATTTCAACACTTCATCACATGTCCAGTAATTGTCTGGTATGACTGTAGTTGAAGGTGATTTCAGACATAGAAAGCTAAGGATGAATTCAAGATTTCAAGACATTCGGCGAGCTCTTATTCAATTATCTTCCTTGAAGTGATACAGCTCCCCAAGAGTCCACTACTGAGCGACAAGAGTTTCACAGAGATTTGATTCATTGAATTTCTTTCAGCCAAGTCTACTAAGCGGCTTGTATTATTGTTATTACTCGGCTCCTCGGAGGCGTAAATTTCTCCAAGAAAAGGATGATAGAAAAGTCTCAACATGAATGAAACACCAAACACTTCTGATTGAACTACCAGATTTAAAAAGTCTTAATCAAGTCCTCCTTGCAGGTCCCCAGCTCCAAATATTCAGCCCAACCTTCATTCCTGTTAATATCGGTAGACCAGCATGCAATGTTTCCTCATATCCTCTCCCATCAGGAGCCAAATTTAACCAGAAGATGGCATTCCTTTTAATAGGTTTGAAAGTAACTCCCCGATCTGAGTCTCCTTCTTTGCATTCGAGAAAATCACACCACCTTCCCTTTTCTAAACTTGGCATGGCAATTCGTGGAAAGTTGGTGCCTCCACCAGTACAATTTGCGTCCACGTAAACCATAAACGTGCTGATTCGATCTGCAGCTCGACTAGCACCACTCCAATCGTAGTGGTTCTTGTAATGACCACCTACACCATAGCGTTGCGTTCTAAGCCGTTCGATGTGCAAATCTGGTCGCCAGCCTTGAAAAGCACGAGCCCGATGTTCGATGCAACGAACAGTGTCATCTCGTTCGATCAAAGCAACTTCGCTAAATCGAATGTCTTTCTGTACTGCAGTTTCTGCACCCGTAGAGACCGTTGAGGGTGCATAATTGTCTTCGCTGGATTGATTGTCTTGGTTAGCCAGTGCACTTTTGGAGTCATGGACAATGAGACTAGTTCCGTTTAGCACGATGCCCAAATTTAAACAGGCATGAGTCCTTCAATCTCGGAGCTGGACTTCTTCAGGACTTTTGACTTTGCCTCTAGATCTCTTGGTAGTCTTGGTCAGATCCACAACAGTCCCAAGAGCCCGGAATTCAACGACCAGAATCTGGAGAACCTGGAGATGACTCCGGAAAGAAGATCCTGGAATCCACTGATAAAAATAAGCTTCAACAGGGCCCTTTTCCAGAACTTCCACGTGTACTGTATCTACTCTGTATGTTTGGAAGATCTAGTCATGGACAAGAAGCTTCCCGACCAAGCATTATCCTTTAACTCGACATGAGAAAGGCAGGAAAAAAAGAGAGAAAGCTTTACCTGATCTTAACAAGATGCTTTGATTCTAGCTCACTCAGGAAATCTTCCACATAAATGATCAAAGGTTCATGCGACAGAGTGAATGTTTGGTAAGCATGAGGAGCACATTCTATCGGATCATCCGAAGCGATGAAAGTGCTGTTGAGAATGGCAGCTGAAGGGTCCGAAGGCCGTGGCGTACCTGTACCGAAGATCAGGTTCTGCAAAGGCACCCAAATCAGCACGTAAAAGGGGATAACAGCCGCGAGGTAACCCAGTTGGGACAGATTGACCATGGTGTTGTAACTGTAGTTCTTGGCTGTGTGGTGTTCGAGGGCATGAACGTTGCATCGAAGAATTGGGTGTTTCATGGAGCGATTGGCGAATCACTTATAAAGACCCAGATATGATTTCCACGTGACCGTATACGACAATCATTAAATGTCCGAGGATGCATCCCTGACCAATGGGAGGCAAGTAATATATCCACCGCGAACCTCTGAATACGGGCCGACGATCTCTCCACACGCTTGTTCTGTCGACATACCAACAACGATCAAGATATCCCAAGCGATTTATAGCCGATTTGTTTTTTTTTGATATGTATGGGATATGTGGGTTTTCTTTCACTCTACTATGGAATGTCTTACCGTAGTTCTGAATCTATTCGCTAATACGGTGGCTCCTAATTACTCTTCCATTACCCAGTACTCTATTTCTCCTCAGCACAATCATTTTGGAAGTTTACAAAACTCGCTTAGGTTAGATCCTGCCATCGAGCTTGGCAGTTGTGCTACACGTCTCGTCTGACCTAGCCTGTACCCTTCAGAGGCACACTCGTGCATCAGACTGCGCCCAGCATTGGCACGTGTCACAGTTCCCCTTTGCCTAGCGATGGACCAGCAGAATTCCACGATTCATAAGGAATCATGGCCCGCCCAGCTGTCTCATAAGCTTTGACTTATACTTCAAGAGCCGACGAGTCTCTTGGCTTTGCCTCCACCACTTCTACGACTTTGAAGAGAAACCCCCCTACTCCTTAGCCAAGGGAAATCCCGCACGGCCAGGGTCTGGTTCAATGGAGCTTGGAAGGGTTGCTGTTTCACGCACCCAACACTTGTTGATTTGCTCGGTCCACGTGGCTGAACTTGGCTGTGAATCCTCATGCGGAGGGGCTTTGGTATGCCTTTCTTCAACCAACAACAATTAATCGTCCGAAGTCTTGACAAGCTTGACTTGCCTCACTATGTCTCGCAAGTGGATCTCTATAAGTAAATGCCCGCCGCACAGCTTATTGTCTCCTCTTTTTTTCCCTCAGCAGCGCTCACATTCACTTTTCGACCCCACACCAAGAAAGCAAGTCTTCTTCAATTCACCCAATTACATCTTTAATCGCTTAATTCTCCTCTTTGGTCCAATCAAAGTCTGCACCCACCAAAACAAAACAGATCGACAGCAAACAAACCCCACAGTCAAGATGCAATATTCATTCGCCCTTGCCGCCCTCTTCTCCGCAACGATTGCTCTCCCCCTCCCCCTCAACATCAACCTTGGCGCTTATTCTCCAGCCTTGGTAGTCGGTGATGGTGCTATATCATTCGGGGCAGAGGGAGGAGAGGCTGGAGCAAGACCCTTGATGGAAGCTCTCAGCGGTGCCGGTGTTTCGGGGCCTGGAGCAGCAAAGGGACTCATTGATGGCGCCAACACTCCCGCAGCCAGTTCCGTATCTATCAATCAACCAGCACTTTCAGATGGCGCCGGCCTCGGCCGAGTCGTTAGACCTCGTGAGGGAGGTGATGAAGAGGAGGATGAGGCAGAAGTTAAGGCCGAGGTGGGTGCTCCTGTTGTTTCAAAACGAGATATCGGTGGCTTTAATGCAGCACTGAGTTATGCCCTAGGTGCTGTAAAAGTCACTCCGGAGGTACAACTTGGGACGGGTGAAAAAGGGGCTGGAGTTGGTATTCTTGTCAAGCCTGGCATCACAGCTGCCGCTGCTGCGGCACCTGCCAGAGCCGGTGGTAAAGCCGAATAGGGGATTTCAGTCCAAGACGCAGCCGGTAACTCAGCAGACGAGGTTGCATAATAAGCTCTCGAGGATGGTGATGATAATTCATTTGCTTGGGGGTATTGTTTTGGTCGTGGATCTAGATTTACAATTTTGGAATCTCGGTGGTCATTTGAAGGAAAGGTTGGTGTTGGTTGGTGAAATCTGGAGGGCCATCAACAGCGTTTTGAATGGATTGGGAATATTAGAGTCCACATAGTTTTGCAGTTTCGCGGTTTTGCACTTTGAAGTCTTTTTTTTCCTATTTGAGATATCCCTGATCATTAACTTGAGAAAATGAAATATAAATTATAAATCCAATGTTTGACCTGACGTCCAAATTTTGACCTCTTTCTACGATGCGAGCTGCTCCCTAAAGTGCGGGTCCTTGTGCTCATTACTACCAATGGGGTTATTCACTGATCCATGGCGAATAACGTAGCAATTACGCATTTCCGTTCCTCTAAAATAAATTAGGGTTGATAAGTTTCAACAATTTGTTTAACCTATCGGGCCTTTCCGCCGTGAATACAGTAGACCTGTCATGTTTTATTCCACTCTATCAGAAATAGAGAGGTTTTGCCGCCGAAAAACAGTGGCAAGAATAGTGTTAAGTTTATACTAAAAAGTGGACGATATCCGAGCGATATCTGACCGTTTTATTCGAAACACGCTGATGTTCGTGCACTTACGTGGATGAAAAAACTCGCAGGTGCCCCCTGGTGATAATCTGCTCTAGGTGCGAAAAGTACAGGCCAATCCCTGGGTAGGTTTCGATATTTTTAGAGGTTGAATTGCCACGTGAGCAAAGTATCTTTTGGTAACACCTCACAAAGTATAAAGAGATATGAAAGTCTGTAGGATTGGACTTAGGACTACTGTTGTGATAACCCTTTTTCATATAGTCGTAACACTACACTATAACGCAGCAAGAAAAACAATGAGAATGAAGGAGAATTTAAACCAGAGATGACGTTCTAAGAACAATACTACAGTAATGGGTAAGTATATACATCAGCAAAGTTTAGCTTTTTTTCTCCATTTGTAACCTTTAGATATAGCGGCAAAATCGTGTATATCTCAATGTTATTGCAAACAAGGACTCCTTGATAAACCTGCCGTTCCCCTCTAATACGTCAACGACTTATTAAAAACTGACATTTATAGTAGTAACATTTGTGATGGAGCACTAGTAGGTATAGAAATCCGAGATTAATAAAGGGGGAATAGCTACTATGCAACAACAATCACAGTAGCAGGTTTGACATGAGACTACTCTGAACGTTTTTGGACTATCGGATGTCAGAGCCAATTACAAATATGAATCGTTGCAATTTTTTCAATTGGTTATGCTGTTTTTGTTTGGTGACGGAAAATGTGACTAGGGTGATGGTTATAGTTGTGCTGAGGTAGAAATTGAATGTATGAGAGAGGCATTGCAACTTCTTGCATCGCTTGATATTTCCTTTGTTGTGTTTACAGAACGCTCGTGTCAGCCCTTCGAAAATGAGTACAGTTCTAGAGCCTGCCATTTTGAGGAGACTTGTCAGCATTGTAACCTTTCCACAGGCCGATAACCTTGTTTCAGAGAATCTTGTCCGACCTAGCCACGTTTACACTCACAGCTGTTCATCACACTGTCACAGTGGTGTTGAGATTGTGCTTCTGACCTGCTTCACGAATTTTGAAACTAGAGAGGTGGGATTACGGGTCGTAAACTCACAACATTAATTATGGTTCGCGGAAATTCTATCCTTTTTTTCTTTTTTCACTAAATTTGGTAACTAGCGTTTGCATGAGATGTTATTTCCACAGTCCATGACTGCAAACGATAGCCGAGATTGGCGCTGGAGAGAACACCTACTAGTTGGCCTTGGAGTGTATAATTTCAAGTCATTATTACAGTGGTGGTGAGGTGTTTTGGGATTAGTAATAAGTGATTCGACCAATTAGCATTAAATAGTTTTGAATTAAGCTTTTTTGAATTCTATGGCCAATCACCAATTCTAATCTCAAGGTTTGTTCCCTGAAACTAATATAAGTTTGGTGGTACCAACTGAGTTCCCGGGGCGTAGTTTCCGGAAAAGGTTTTAATTGACGAAGCTTTAGAAATACATTATACAGCTTGGATACATAATAAAAGTTCAACTCACTCAAAATACAGTCTTTTGATTGGAAGTTCCGCTAAATAGCTAGTAAGATGGTCGATGATGTTAGTACAACACTCCAGCTCTTTATCTAAAGATATACCTTTTCCGGAAACTCCGCCTGGGGACTGTAAGTGTCGGAAAATATATTCTAATTCGAATTTCCACTTTCTCTGGTTGGTCGAAAAGATTATTACTAATCACAAATCAACAACACACCACTCAGTATGAGGATCAACTTGTATATACTCCAGAGCCAACTAGTAGCAGTACAAACAGGACTGTTATTCTCAACTCCCAGAAAATGTTACATTTAGAGAAATATAGTACCTTCCAGCTTGTTTCCGGGAAAAGTAAACTTTTTAGTTGAAGTAGTAGGGTGTTTTACAGAAGCCCACGGTCCTCTATTTAGAAAAACCCCCAATCAGAAGACCGAATCATAGGTGAAAACAACCTTTGAATATCGGAGGTGGGTTTTTAAAGATGAGGTCATTTAACCGTTTACGGCGATCAGCTTGAAGGTACTGTATATGGATTTTCAAAAGTTGAGACTATAAGCCATTATGTTCTCACGTTATCAATATTAAAGCCGGACCACGAATGACTTTGGGGGAGTTCCAAAATGCTCGAAAAACACACTTCCATACTCCTATTCTTTTGGTATATCAAAGGCCGAATACACCTACTACCGAGCTTTTCAAGTCGAAAGTTTTCCGACACACTGGTATTCATGGCCCGCAAGTGCCGCACCAAGCGCGTGATGTGGGATCAGAGCGAGGTGATAGAACATCAAAATGTCTGACGTTGCGTCCGGACACGTTAGATGCCCGTACAGCGAAGGTCATACCTAGTCATTATTGTCTGAATCTACTCATTAAAACTCATACTTACAGTAGCATTCTCGCCTTCTCCTTCATTATGAAATTCTCTACTTGTCGATTTGATTAATTATTAATTTCATTCTTTTCCCGTACCAGGAACGTTGAACAAAGGAATGGCGACACAAGAGACTGAGGGCTTCGGGTCAATATCTCCACTTGCTCTCGGTAATGAAATCTCACGCGTCCTTCAAAGTTCATCATACTTTTCGGAACGAAAGAGACCACGAGCTCACGATGACGATGTCGAAGATGGGGAGAAAAAACTCATCGACCATAATTGGCAACAAATGCCGGAATTAAAGGCCCTTGGAGCACCGGACGATAATCATGAAATCAAGGGACGTCAACTTGGTGTCACCTGGACCAATTTGACAGTGCTGGGAATTGGATCCGATGCTGCCATGAATGAGAATGTAGGGTCGCAGTTCAATTTTATGAATGGTGTCCGCGATCGCAAAGCAAAGGCATCAATGAAGACTATTATCCACAATAGCCATGGATGTGTAAAGCCAGGAGAGATGCTTCTGGTACTGGGGAGACCTGGGGCCGGGTGCACAACGCTTCTCAAAGTATTGGCTAACAGAAGGGATGGGTTTGCTGAGGTTTCTGGAGATGTATTCTTTGGAAGCATGGATCCGAAAGAGGCTGCGCAGTACCGGGGACAGATAGTCATGAATACTGAGGATGAAATCTTCTATCCTACACTTACCATTGGCGAGACAATTGATTTCGCCACAAGACTAAAGGTACCATTCAATCTTTCTCCTGACACGAACACAAAAACCTTTCGAAAGGATTGTCGAGAATTTCTATTGAAATCAATGGGGATTTCTCATACGCATGACACCAAAGTTGGCGACGAATTTGTCCGAGGCGTTTCTGGCGGCGAGAAAAAAACGTGTCAGTATCATTGAGGTTCTTGCGACAAGAGCAAGTGTATTTTGTTGGGACAATAGTACCCGAGGCCTCGATGCAAGCACGGCTCTTGAATATACCAAAGCTGTCAGAGCGCTAACCGATACCTTTGGGTTGACGTCAATTGTAACTTTGTACCAAGCTGGAAATGGCATCTACGACCTCTTTAACAAGGTTTTAGTCCTTGACGAAGAAAGGCAAATCTACTATGGACCGAAAGACCAAGCAAGACCGTTCATGGAGGAACTTGGCTTTCATTGCGATGATGGGGTTAACGTAGCTGATTTCTTGACTGGAGTGACTGTACCTTCCGGTGCTGGAAAAACGACGTTGTTGGATGTACTAGCCCAACGGAAGACGGATGCTACCATCAAAGGCTCAATACAGGTTGACGGCCGCCCTCTTACTGTCAGTTTCCAGAGATCTGCTGGCTATTGCGAGCAGCTCGATGTTCATGAGCCTCATACTACCGTACGGGAAGTACTTGAATTTTCTGCGCTTCTTCGCCAACCAAGAGCTACTCCTCGAAAAGAGAAACTCGACTACGTGGACACGATTGTCGATCTGTTGGAAATGCACGATATCGAAAATACACTCATAGGTCATCCTGGTGCTGGATTATCAGTGGAGCAAAGAAAACGTTTGACTATTGGCGTTGAGCTTGTCTCCAAGCCATCTATTCTCATTTTCCTGGACGAACCTACTTCTGGTCTTGATGGACAGGCTGCTTTCAATATTGTACGGTTCTTGCGAAAGTTAGCCGATATTGGCCAAGCAATTCTTGTCACTGTAAGTATCCCTTTCTCGCTTATTACTCCACAGTCACGTGGCTCCGAGGGGAACAAATCCTCCTCCTGCTGGACAGAAATTAGGCAGTATATCCATCCAAAAGACTTGATATTCTAAGAATCTTTATTCAAGCGTCCCAAAATATTCAGTTGATAGTTATGGTTGTTCAAAAACTGATTAGAACAATGATAAAAATATCAAGAAGAGCGACTTACTGTTACCTTTCTGTCCACTGCAAAATCCCAATAGGTTTCATGGAAAAGCAATAAGCTAACACTTTGAAGATTCATCAACCATCTGCCATTCTCTTTCAAAAATTCGATAGTCTGTTCCTTTTGGCCAAAGGAGGTAAAACTGTCTATTTCGGCGACATTGGTAAGGATTCATCCATAATCAAGGACTACTTTACACGAAATGACGCGCCCTGCCCTACAAACGCTAATCCTGCCGAGCACATGATCGACGTAGTTAGTGGTCAGCTATCTAAAGACAAAGATTGGAACCAAGTCTGGCTCAACTCTCCCGAGCACGAGAAAATGGTGAAGGAATTGGACCAAATGATTTCGAACGCAGCTGCCAAAGAACCAGGGACAAAAGATGATGGCTTCGAATTTGCCATGCCATTGTATTCTCAAATCAATATTGTCACTTATCGTATGAACGTATCAATCTGGCGTAACACCGAATATGTCAACAATAAGGTAGCTTTACACATTGGGACAGCACTTTTCAACGGCTTCTCATTCTGGATGGTTGGCAATAGCGTGGCCGACTTGCAACTCCGCCTCTTCTCAATTTACAACTTCATTTTCGTCTCCACGGGTGTCATTGCGCAACTTCAACCCCTCTTCATCGACCGCCGAGGTATCTATGAAGCGCGGGAAAAGAAGAGTAAGACGTACAGCTGGATCGCATTCGTCACTGGTCTTATCGTATCGGGACTTCCGTACCTCGTTGTTTGCGCAGTCCTCTACTTCGCCTGCTGGTACTATACCGTAGGCTTCCCCAACGAATCCTCCAAATCTGGTGCCGTCTTCTTCGTCATGGTGATCTACGAGTTTATGTATACAGGAATTGGGCAATTGACTGCCGCTTATGCGCCGAATGCCCTCTTCGCAGCTTTGATCAACCCCCTCATTCTTGGCGTCCTCGTCTCCTTTTGCGGAGTCCTAGTTCCTTACTCTGCCATCCCAGCTTTCTGGAGATACTGGCTTTATTACATCGACCCCTTCAACTACCTCATGGGTTCCTTGCTAGTTTTCACAATTTTCAATACCCAAGTCATCTGCAAAGACTCTGAATTCGCCATTTTCAATCCACCGACTGGCCAGACATGCTCTCAATATCTCGCAAGTTATATGCAAGGAATGGGTGCTTTGACAAATTTAACGAACCCCGAAGCGAGGAGTGGATGTCGTGTTTGTCAATATAGGACAGGAGCAGATTATCTGAAGACTCTTAACCTGTTAGAATATTATTATGGATGGAGGGATGCGGGGATTTGTGTTATTTTTATGTTGAGTAGCTATGCGATAGTTTTCTTGCTCATGAAATTGAGGACGAAGAGGAGTAAAACAGCGGTATAGAGGGTGTTTATTTGAGGGAATTGGCGATGGTATAGCTCATCTTATTTGGCGTGGTAAGGTTAGAGTAGGCTCTTTTTTCATGATAATGACTCTTTTTTTATTGATTTGATAGAACACAAGCATTTCTACGCTATCAAAGGAATTAGTGTTAGCAATGAAGAAAGTAGAAATAGAGGTATTATAGGAAGCGTTTGTTCAGGGTTCCTTGCATTAATAGTACTGGCTATTGAGCTGAGTATGGTTTACTACCAATATTGAAGATTCTCAAGCCTAAATAATCCGAATCGAAATAAATCATTCGACAGGAAGATTAAATTCGTCAGCGACTAGTAATGGTACTAGGCAATTTTGGGGAACTTCCCCTGTGTAAGGCTCAAATAAAATACCTTTGACCGTAAGGACAAAAGAGTGGGTGTTAGAGACTTTTAGACCTGTTCGCGTAGCTAGAAGTCGGACACACCGTCCTAGCTGGAAAAAACTCGTTGGCCTTCATATATAGTTAGTATTCTCACTAGGTGTAGCACTTTATTTATGGAGACATTTGAAGACGCTGGTAAGATTCATTTCCAAGACGAGTATACTAGTAAATATTGACGGAGTTTTAGCAGTAGAATAAAAAAAGGGTACTCCAGCAAGATGTTACTTTGTTACTGTAAATCATTTTTGCTTGATCTCAAATAGAATACTGCAACTTTCGGCAACTGGAATTCCATTCGATTCCAGAGGCCTTCTCTGGAAGGATTCCATTTTATCTAAGGATTTAGTGGAAGGATTCCATTCCAGAGGTATATATTCCATGGAATATATGGAATTTCCAGCTGGAATTTGTCACATGACCGTCGACTAAATAGGAAGTCTCTAGGGCCCTATTTATATTAAACAGTCAGATAACAAGTCACATCACGTGAATGTCCCCCTAACATAGGTAGGGTACGAGTATCGCAAATATTTCTAGAGTTAATTATATCCTAGCTATTTACTTAACTCTTAAGGTTTATATAGCTCCTATAATCACGTGTTTTAACTAGTCTGGCGGGGAGTTCTATGGATTCCATAGAATTTCTAGAGCCTACTAATGGAAGGAATCTTTCTATTTTATATAACCTCTAGAAGGATTCTAGGTGGAATGGAATGGAATAATTCCATGGAATATGGTTCTATGTGCCGAACGTTGGAATACTGTGAAGCTTTTCCTATGTGAGGACCTGAAAGTGAAGCCATCTGTTACTTTCTCTCTTTGATTAACTCAAACCCCTAGCATGTTTCAAGGGAAGTGTTCTTATACCTTACTCTCTGCTTGGACCAGCGCCTATCACAGAGATATAAATCACTTCTACCTAGCAGCTAACCTGTCTCAAGAATATAAATACAGAAACTGAACGGGGAGGGAAAGCTAGTAGCCGAAAACCCAATTCCGATTCGACTACCGTATGTGTGTCGGGAGTTTGCGTCTGGTAGATGTCTATAGTAATGCTAGTGAACTCCCTCAAAACTATACCAGAGACACTCAAAATATATATATTCTTGTACACTAGAGTATATAACTTATCCTTAAAGCAGATCCAAAAGTTAAACAAGATTTCGATAGCATCTGGTAAATCGACAGCAAACGTTCGCTCCGTGAGTTGGACGTAGACTGCGGTTTTGAACTATGTTGTGGTGCGGGGCTATTCAGATTAGAGACCTCTACCATTCAGACAACGGGAGGTTCATGGGAGATTCAAGTAATCTTCCATCTACAAGGCCTCTCATATATTCGAGTTTGGTTTTGCGTTAATTTCTATGGAGCTTTATAATATGGTCGGAAGTTCATTATATAAACTCACCTACCCCACTTCCTCAAGTCTCTAACTCCCAAGTCCTTATTCACTTCACACAAACAACCTCTTCAGCCCATTCACCTCACATCCATCCAACCACCCCAGCTTACCGGTAACCGGCACACGGCACACTGAATTCTTGAGGCCGCTATCTTCATAGTGAATCCCTTATATTACCTATTCAGGCAACCCGAAAGTTTTGTTGCATATCGCACAGACATCTGCACCTCAAAAAATCGACACTTGAGCACCTTGATACCGACCTCAAGAACGGCAAACGGAACTTACAGCTCCCGACTTTGCCGTAAAGTATATAGTGAATCCAACTCTCTAACACTACCTTTACCTATTCAGGCAACCTCAATGTTTTGTTGTACATCGCACAGAGGTCTGCACCTCGGAAAATCAACGCCTGAGCACCTTTGTCACCGACCTCAAGAACAGTAAACGGCACTTACTGCCCCCGACTTTGCCGTGAGATATATAGTGAATTAGACTCTCTAACTCTACCTATACCTATCTAGGAAGTCAAAAGTTTTGTTGCACATCGCACAGAGGCTTGCACCTCAAAAAATCGACACTCACACCCCTTTAATACGGGCAAACGGAACTTGCTATACCCGACTTCGCCGTAAGCTATGGAGTGAATTCCCACCCCCTCTGTCGACATCTCAGGACCTATCGTAGAGATTTGTTGCGACTCACACCAAGGTCTGCACCTCAAAAAATCGAGACTTGAAATCCGTACTGTCCTTCAAATCTGCTCTCCTATATCATAATATGAGAAGTATAGTATTACCCACCCTCACTTCCTTATCCTCATCCTCACTTCCACTTAAAACCCATTCAAATCCCAATTCCACAAAAGACAAGCAATGCATCTACCATTACCCCCCTCTCTCCCCTTTCCCACCCCCCAAACTTCCTCCCAAACCAACAAACACCCCCCTCACAACATAAAACCCAAAACACCTTTACCCCTTCTATACACAAGAAAAATTCAAAAACTATAGCTATATCAAGCAACAAACCAAACTCAACACTGCTCATCCAAAACTCCTTATCCAACACTCCCCATCTAACCCCCCTAGTTCCCTCTTTGCTACCCAGCCAACCATCCCTACCACAAAACCCAAACCAAACCCAAAAATCTAGTATCTAAATCCTCCAACCGCGCAAACAACATTCGACACTACCCCAAAAATCGACAGCAAACCCCCTTTCTCACAAAGCTTACTATCTTAAAACACCAAGACGCCAAAATCCAGTTCTCGCCGAGTAAAAAAGCCATCTGATATCCAGCCAGCTTACATCTTGGTCATTGAAAATGAGGGAAGGATATGAGATGGAAGGACACCACATGTGGCTCAAACGATGTACTTCAAGATTTGATGTTGTGAAGATTGGGAGATCGAGGGGTATATATATATACATATAGAGAGTGGCTGGTTCTATTCGTGTGAGATGGATGGATCTCCGCTCAGTCCTATCATACAGTGGTAAGAAACTAGGTACTATTTGTAACTACAGTCTCAACCAGTGGAGCATTTCACAATCCCCTCAAAAAGCATCAAATTCATCAAATTCTGCATTTCATTCCATAACTACAAAATCAAGTCCCACTCCAGACCTGTAAGATACAGCGAAAGCGAAAGCAAATCCACCATCTGCCTCACTAAAAAAGAGACACAAAGAATCCCCATATCCCCCCCAAATTTCCCTTTTGATACACCACAAACCAGCAACATGACACTAATACTCAAAGTCATCATCTACCGCCGGCCCCTTATTCTTACTCACACTCTCCTGCTTCTGATACATCTCCGCAACCTGTCTGGAACTCGTCGCCTCATCCGGCTTCTTATCATCTCGAATCTTGATAAACCTTGGAAATCGCAGACTGATCCCCTTCTCGCCGCCACCTCCAACATGCTCCTTACATGCCGCCTTGTATCTAGGGGAAAGTGTCAAATCGGCAGTCTTCACCTCCCACACGAATCGCGGCTCGAACCAGACGTCGGGTTGGTGTTGATTACCCGAGGAATGAGAGTAGAAGGGTTTGGGACGTTCGATGACGATGTCTTTGAGTTGCGGGTGGAGCTCTTCGAGAACGGCTTCTGAGAAACCGGTGCCGATGTTGCAGATTGTTTCGTAGGTGTCGGTGGATGGGTTGTAGCAGGCCAGGAGGAAGGCGCCGTAGACGGAAGTGCGTTTTCCTTTTCCGTAGTAGGCTCCTAGGACGACGAGGTCCAGGGAGTCACCAATGCCGGAGAGGTAGTCTTTTTTTATCTGGGAGAGATTGTTAGTTTATACAAAGAGACAGTGAAAAGGGGAAAATCTACCTTGAGCCAGTTCCGACTTCGTTTACTAGGTTCATAACCACTTTCCGCACCATCCAACATCTTGACCATAAGTCCCTCGCAAGAAGCTTTAACACTATCGTCGAGGAACTGCTGAATCTCATCAATCTCCCGTCCATTCATACTAGTAGCAAACCCAAACTCCCCTTCAACAGGATTAAAGGACTTATGCAGAAGTTCTCTCCTCTCTCTTAGAGACTTCTCCACTACAGCCTCCCCATTCAAAAACAACAAATCAAAAGCAAAAACGGTAACTTTAACCTTGACATCCTCAACTTTAACGTCCTTCTTCTTTCGTGTCATAAGTTGTTGGAATGGCAGAACTTTCTTCTCTACCATATCCCAAGCACAAGTCTCACAATCAAGTACAAAACTCTTTGTATCCGGCTTTACCCAAGTATCCAGCTTCGACAAAATATCCGGGTATTTCGTTGAAAGGTCTTCAGAGTTTCGTGAGAAGATAGCTGTGATTCCACTTCCCGTTTTTTTGGCGACACCCGCTGGGCCTTTGTATTGTTGCTCCGAGTCTTTCGCGACGTAATGAATTTGTGCTCTTTCTCCATCGTATTTGTATTCGCAGGTAAATGTTTGGTTCTCAAATCGATCAAGAACTTCCGTGATTGACTTTGTGGGTTTTGCCAGCATAGGTTTTAGTGGTACACCTGGTTGTAACTTGCAATTTTCGGCTAGGTTGAAAATCCCATGATCTAACATCGCGGGAATGATCACATCGTAGCTCGGAAGATTGCTATGACTTTTTAGTAAAACTGTTGACGAAAACGAAGAACATGCAAACATACCTGAAAACCTGCTTCAAGATTTGCTCTCCCTTGGCAAGCTGCTCCGTGGTTGGGATTTTTCCTTCGCCTTTGGCCTCAACTTCATGACATACCATAGCCTGAGCAAGCGAGACCAGCACAGTTCTCTCTGCTAATCCAAGCCGTAATTTCCCTTCAAGGAAGCGTACAATGAACTTTGCCTCACTGGCGCCTCCGTTGTCTACGGTGATATCAATTTTTCCAGAATTGTGGCTATCAGCTGCAGCCAGCATCTTCTTGATACCATCAACCTTTCGACCTTGAGCCCCAGCTCCAGAAGTGGCAGCGATGCCAATAAGACCTTTATGAACACCTCGGATAGTCAAAGGTTTGGGTTTGAACATGGTGGGTTGTTTGGCTCTACTCTTGACAGCTACCAATCCAAGATCTCCAAGTACTCTCTGATCATTCTTGACCACTTCTAAGCTTCGTCCAGTGGTTTCACCAATCGCCTTCATAACCAATGATTCGCCAATGCCCAACTCAATACCGGCGTAATCTGCAGCTAGCTTGTTTATCATGAGTAAAACAGTTGGTAGCATATCTTCTGGGGTGAGGCGTAAGACCTGTCGAAGAAATAGTGCACAATGTGCTTGAATAATGAGTCTTTTGGTGGTCATCTCGATTAATGAAAATGTCGTACATAGGGCTGCATATGGAACCGGATCTCCAGCCTTCCAATCAGGATATGGGTCTTTGGCCTTGGATTTCAACGTCGTTTGAACCTTCTCCCGAGCCTTGGCTACAATTTCTGGTTTCTCATCCTCAGATTTGTTGTCCTCTTCTTCCTCGTTCTCAGTTTCCTCGGCAGCAGATGTAGACGCACTTGAGTCTTTTCTCTTCGGGGGTTTCTTAGAGGATGAGCTGACCTCCTTGACTTCTTCCTCTTCCTCTTCCTTCACGACTTGCTTTTTTGGTTTCTTCGGTGAAGGAGCCACTATTTTTGCATCCTTGGACTTTGGAGCAGCTTTTCCTTTTGGTTTCGAGTTTGACACAACTGGTTCATCATCTTCGTCCTCAACCTGGATTTTTGATTTCTTGGGTGGAGGAGCCATTTCCTCTGAATCTTTGGACTTTGAAGCAGCCTTTGATTTGGGTTTGGATTTCGAAATAATCGGTTCGTCGTCTTCGTCCTCAACCTGAACTTTGGCAGCTCGTCGGGGTCGTTTGATAACGGGTTCCTCATCTTCATCCTCTTCAATCTCAACCGATTCCTCCTTGACGGGGTCTGATTTGACTTCGGGTTTGGGTGTAGACCTAGATCGCTTCTTGATTCCTGTAATCATATCAGCATAAAATCTCCAACCAATAATATGCAAGAGAAAATACCCTTTCCAGGCTTGATATTCTCCTTGAGATCGATTTTCTTATCCTCCTTGACCTCTATGACCTCGACATCCGAGTCGTCCTTCATCTCAACATCTTCCGCTGGCTTAGAACTTGAAGGGGCAATGGTCGCACTGGAGCTTGGTGTGCCATTTGACTTGGGGGAAAATGCGAGTGTGGTTTGCTTCGAGGCTTCTTTCGGGGTAGTGCCATTTGGGTTCTTGAAGAACTTTCTGTTGGAGAATATGCATGTTAGCTGGAATTCCAACTGCGACCCTCGAATTGGCTGATCCAACACACCGGATGGTGGTCTGAGAATTTTTCACGTACCCCAACGTAGCTTGCTTTGCTTGCTTTGGCGGCATTTTGCAAAAGGCTCGACTGTTTCGTTCGGAAATCCGCGTCAAGTGCACAAAGGCAGTGAGAAGTTTTTGAGACGCCACAGCGAAAATCGTGACAAGGAAGGGGGATGAAATTCGAATTGGTCGTTGTGTAGTTGGTGTTCAATTAGGTGAAGTCTGGAGGTGGAGAGCGACAGCGGCAGCGGCAACCTAGATTTGGGGCAGCATGACGGCAGGTACGATGGTCGCAAGAAATCACTGAAAATCGTAGGTACGAGCACTTGGGAAATCCGAGATTTGGTGTCGGATCGGGATAGACGGAGTATTCTCTATCACGCTGATATAACCCTAAGATTTCTCTAGCAAAGGCGCATAGATTGATGCGAAAATTGCGGACCTACGAGAGCTTGTCGCGTCGACTTTCTCCAAGTCGCGTCTCCTTCAATGACCCGTGTAAATTGATTTCTATTGACACCCCCGCACAGATGATGGCCGTACCTCCTGTGAGTCAAAGCGGTGAGTCGAAGGCCCATGCCGATATCCCAAACCCTCCCCTCGACCCCGCCAGCCCACCAAAATAATTCGGGTTGATCAATTGAAGATAACAACACCACAACACCATGGCTGCAGTGCAAGAACTCGCCGACCGAACCAAGATGGACACTATTTACGTCGACATTGATACGGGAGCAGACGACGAGTCCGCCACCGGTACCGAAAGCAAACCATACAAGTCGTTGGCCTATGCGTATATCCAGCAGGGTGGCAGTGAGGGGAAATCATATCAATCGCGTGCCTCCACAACAGGTCCCGTCAGCACAGACGGTGACCCAGCAGAGAGATTGGTATGGAAAGATCCTGCAAAAGCCGCAGTGAAAAAAGCCCAGAGTGCATTGGACGCGCACAAGAAAAAGGCATTGAAGCAACAACAACAAGCCGCCCAGGAAGAAGAGAAGGAAAAGGCCCGGCTAAAGACGCTCGAGGATGCGAAGAAAATCGTCCTCACCGAAGATGCCTCCCTACCCAAGGCCACTAAGATCACAATTGGCGACAAGACGGTTCAATTAAGAAATGAGGGTGTCAAGGGCGCCCGCGTCAAGGTTTCTGGTCGCATTCACAGATTACGACAACAGAAGCAAGCTACCTTCATTACCTTGATTGACGGATATGGACACCTTCAATGCGTTCTTGCTGGAGATCTCACAAAAACTTACGATGCTCTCACATTCGCTCAAGGCACTTCCTTGACGCTTTATGGCGAAATGCGCGAAGTCCTCGCTGGTCAACAAGCTCCAGATAGCCGAGAACTTCACGTTGATTACTACAAAGTCCTTGGTTCCAGTCCTTCCGATGCAGATGCCATCACCAACAGAGTTTCCGCTCAACAAGATCAATGGGAATCTGCCATGTTGGACAGTCGTCACTTGGTTCTACGAGGTGATACTGCCTCTTCGGTTATGAAGGTTCGATCGGCAGTAGAGTGGGCATTCGCAAAGGCATATCGGGAGATGCACTTCACTAAGATCAGTCCTCCAGCTTTCGTTCAAACTCAAGTCGAGGGGGGCTCTACACTATTTGAATTAGACTACTACGGAGAAAAGACATATCTAACCCAATCATCCCAACTCTACCTCGAGACTGGACTCCCAAGTTTGGGCAATGTCTACTGCATCGAAAAGTCATTCCGTGCTGAGAAATCTCTCACTCGTCGTCACTTATCAGAATACACTCACGTTGAAGCTGAACTGGATTTCATCGATTTTGAGGATCTCCTAGACCATTTGGAAGAAATCATCAGCAGAGTCATTGGCACCCTGATGGACGACAAGGAAATCGCTGGCTACATCAAAGAGCTCAACCCTGAGTTCACCCCTCCAACTCGACCATTCAAGCGTATGAGATACTCTGACGCAATTGACTGGTTGAACGCCCAGGATCCCCCTATTCTCAACGAAGAAGGCAACCCCCATGTATTCGGTGACGATATCGCTGAGGCTGCCGAACGAAAAATGACGGATATCATCAACCTCCCCATCCTCTTGACCCATTTCCCGGTTGAAATCAAGGCTTTCTACATGAAAAAGGAGGATGCTGATCGTCGTGTTACTGAGAGTGTTGATGTTTTGATGCCTGGTGTGGGAGAGATTGTCGGAGGCTCAATGAGAATGGAGGGGTATGAGGAGTTGATGGAGGCGTATGCTAGGGAGGGGATTAGTCCAAAGGAGTACTATTGGTATACGGAACAGCGAAAGTAAGTCCCTTATCCTCCACTCTTATCATTCATTTGCAATAGATACTGACTATGTTTAGGTATGGTACGTCACCCCACGGTGGTTACGGACTTGGCCTTGAGCGATTCATTGCCTGGATTTGCAAACAACATTCTGTCCGTACTTGTTGCTTGTATCCTCGATTCATGGGACGTTGCAAGCCTTAGAGATCTTTTTGGTCTGCATTACTTCTGGAATTTCGAGCCTTGTGAACCCTTTGGCTCCACTGCGACGGCTCGTCTTGGTGCTTCTTATGGTGTGGTTGTGTGTGTGCGAATTTAGCTCCCTTGATAGATTTCAGAGTTGCTTGCAGATGATGATAAATGAGATGATTTTACGGAATGATATATCGCTTTGGCATTGTGCTGTAACCTTTTCCGTACTTCACCTCTTCCAAATATAGAACCCTAATCTTTAACAAAAGAAAATCTATGAACCGAGGAACCCATATCTCAATAATATTTACCTATTGCGTAAATACTTTGACAATTATATAATAACAAACATTTCTACAACCCCAGAATGCCTTCCATTTCTAACCTGATCCTAAAATGGTATCCCAAAAAAGACTCAAGAATGGAAAGCACCATCTTGATAAAGATCTTGCTTGCGAACCTAGATACCATCATTAGTCTCGAAACACGTCTAACTCGTAGAAGTCAAACTTACAAGACCAACATACTTCCCATTCTCCACCGCACAAACATACTCCAACCCCAGTTTCTGGAAGCAATCGGCTGCGAACTGGATTGGGGAATTTATTTCGAGGGTTATCGGTGGCTGGATGTGACGTTGAATAATTAGTTTTTTGTGCTGTTTTGGAAATGAAAATAAGATGAAGGGGAAGAGTTGGAAAGTAGGTAAAGTAGACGTACCGGTACCAAATACCCCGTAAAATCCACCTCCTCCCCCCGCCACAGATAATACGAAGCGCTATCTCTTTCCGGCGCATACAACCGTATCCCCTGTTCCGGGTACTCCCACCGTTTCGCAGAAAGGAGACATGCGGTAGAACTTGAATTATTTTTCAAGGAAGCTAGTGCGGTTTTTAGGGCCTCCACTGGGAGGAGGTTTATGGGTTTGGAGTGCGAGGTTATTATTATTCCGCCTGAAGGGTCGTGGGAGAGGAGGGTGGTGAGTCTTTGTTGGAGGAGAGAGGAGGGGATGAGGGGGGAGTGTGTTATGTCGATGCTGGTGTTTGAGGGGGATTGGGAGGGGAGGATGGAGGATAGTGTTTTGGTGGAGGTGGGGGATGTGATGGATGAGATGGGATAGGCGTGGAGAGAGCTGACGAGGTCCTGTGTGAGGTGAGTATTGTTTAATGAGATTGGAGGAGAAGGCAGGAAGGGAGATACATACATAGATGTTCCCCTCCTCGATACAATCCGCCACCCATTTCGCAACCAGGATAGCGATGCAGAAGCAGCCCACGTATTTCAGACTCCCGGTCAGCTCAAAGAGGATTATTGTTAGGGTGACGGGTAGTCGAGTGACGCCGCACATCATGGCTCCGGCCCCGATGAGGGCGTATACTTCGGGGTTGACACAGGAGACTCCTTTTTCGGTTGGACATGCTAGGAGTGGGAGGTTCTTGGAAAGTGCTTCGACGCTGTGTCCGATTGCTTTTCCGAGGAGAGCTCCTATCGCCATGGAAGGGACGTATATCCCGGCTGGGACGCAAAGTCCGAAGGAGACGATGGTTAGTATCCCCTTTACTATGAACGCTACAACCAGAGGAATGAGTAAAGTAGACAGTGTCTCACTCGATTTGAAACTCCCGAGGTGTGGGGATGATTTCACACCACGGTTGCAAGTAGCCGCCAAGTTCGAAAGCAATTCGCTATCACCAAGCTTCGTGTACTGATTCCAGTACGAAGATACGCCCGTGAGGAGCGCGATGAGAAGGATATCCAGCATAGGATATCGTTTGATCACTGCGATTCGACGGTATGTCTTCGCCCAGAATCTACATGCTTTGATGAATAGCGCGCCCAAGATGCCGCCTAGTGCGCCGAGGAAGAGGAATGCGGGGAGCTCGAGGAGTGACCAGTCGGTGGTGTAGTGGACATCGATTAAGACGGGCATTCGGTTACCGAATGGTTCTAATAACTTTAGAGAGAGACTTGAAATCTGCGCTTCTTAGTCAGATACTTTAGCGATAAAGGCCGGGGGGAGGTATACAATAGTGCAAAATAGGATTAACATAAGCTGTTTCGGTGTCCACATCATACTTCAAAAATCAGTTCTTTTCCTCACAGCCACATTTCATAGTAAGATGGAAGTGAAATCCATACCTAAACTCCTCAAGCACAAACACCACCCCACTAACCGGCGCCCCAAACGCAACCGCCAACCCCGAAGCCACTCCCGCGCAGAGCAAAAGCCGTCTTGTCTCCCCTGGCTTCACATCAAATACTCTGGCTACCCACGCGCTAACACCGGCACCGAGATGGACGAACGGCCCCTCTTTGCCGATACTCAGTGCCGAGGAGGTACTTAGGATCATCGCGGTGGCTTTTAGTAGTACGGTTTTGCTGGTTAGGTAGCCTGGGAATTGGAAGTTATTGATTACCAGCTTGATTTCGCGGACGCCGCTCCCGGCTGCGGGGATGGATGGTGGATTGGATGTTTTTGAGGGGGTAGGAGAAGGGGTGAGAGTGTTTTGAAGGGATTGCTTGGTGCGAGATAGGAGGGTGAGGGCGCATGCGGTGGTGGATAGTGTGAGGACGAGTGAGATGTAGATTAAGATGTCTAGTCCAGTTGATGCTGCGGGCCTGCTTGGGGAGAGTGAAGACCATTTGTGCCATGCGTTGCAATCCCCGACTAGGTATTCTCTTAGTTTTGATACAGCTCAAGTATACTGTACAGAGATATGGAAGTCTTCAAGTGAAAAAAGGGGGTCGCTTACAGCCGGAGCAGCATTTTCGCTTATTGAAATACCACGTATCTGTCTTGAATAAGTAAATTCCCTGCTAAGAACTTTGGTGTAGGGAATCGTCACCTGAACAGAATCCATACTTGACGTCAAAAAGTATTGCTTGGGAGTTGTCGATGATAAAGGCCATGAGAGCTGCTAGACACCCAACGAATGCGACGAGTATCCACTCTCTCACCCCTTGTCTGGTCTTACTGAGCTTGCTTTTGGAATACCTCAGACTATATGGTTGCATCATATTAGCATGTAGTCCGTTTTTGGCATAGTGTGACTTACAATGACTTGTAGGGTCTCCCTAAACCTGCCCAAGTTATACGGGATACTTCATGTCTTCTCTCAACTTCCTCACCCGGTGCCACAATCCCTGGAAGCTGCATACATAGTTAGAACAACATCCCCATCTATAAGTTCCAAGGTTTTCTCACCGAATAATACGAGATTTCCTCCTCATTATTAGGCGTCGATGATAGGGTGGTATCCAAACTCTCCGAAACTTCCCCACCATTTCCCTCGAGCGATTCGCTGGATTGTGCAGTTTGAGAGGGACTATTTAACCGCTCCCAAATTTTTGTTGTCTCTTCTTCTACACTACTAGCTGTGGCAGCTTTTTGAGCATTGTGCTTGGGAGGTTCCTGTGGGACTTCGGAGAAGCTGTCGTAGTACCGTTCCAAGTTGTCATCTTGGAGTAGTAAGGGGCATTGCTCAGAGTCTGATGATGAATAGAAAGTCATTTCATATGTCTGATAAGCGAGGAAAAAGGTGTATAGAACTCTTGGATATTGGGAATCCCATTCAAGGGAGCTGAACCCAATAGAGTTTGTTACACAGATAAATAAAAGGAGAAGGACGATAGACAGCGAGAGAATATTAGGAGACAATGTCCAATACAGCGGTTGTCAGATTGGACTCTGATACTAGGGAACGAGCTTTTGTGGACCACGGTGTTAATTAGATCTTTACATACGCTGCTAGTACTGTACAATGCATGGTAATCAGGTACCGTACCCAGACGCGGGCTGGACAGGTACCGGGGCGGAATTGAGATTTAAAAGGGGAATTCATCACGAGTGTAGTCCGCTATAATTCCGCTAGACGTGAAAATTCCACCGGCCGAGACATATACAGACATCCAACATCTCGGGGGATGCCAAAAGTCACGTGTAAATCATGTGCTCGCTTCTGGTGTGGCAGGTAATTGTGATTGGCTGACGAGATTAGGGGTAGCGAAACTGACAGGGGGCGGGGAGAACGGAGACGCTAGTGCTTGGCAGCCACTATTGCTTTCTACCAGATCTACGGCCCTCACTCTCTGCTTCTCATTATTATTTTTACGGGCGTAATTGACTACCGGAGAAGCCTCAAAGCTCAAAGAGTTCGATTGATGTCGATCTTGCGGGGAGTATTACAAATCTAATGTTGGCTCATTTTCTGCTTTATACCTGGAATTTTGTTCTTGTTGTTTAAAGATACAACCTTTCTACTACGATCGTGGAGTTTACTCTCAGCCTTCCAGAGAAGACTTACAGCCACCGGGTTTAACACAATTATGGAGAACAAATCTGCTACCAACGCCCCGCTGCATCAGCACACAGATGGCGTCTTCGATTCGAAAATAATGGACGAATCAGACAAGGACCATCTAGGCACAGCGTCAAACGAAGGTTCTCAAATCAAACAAGATGATGAACCTTCTCCGCGTCAGATTCATGGAATCAAGGTATGCCACATCTAGGCTCACTCAATGTTCCCACATACTAACAGCCTCATAGTGGGCCATTGCCTACACATCTATCCTTTCATCAACCTTCCTCTTCGCCCTAGATAACACTGTCATGGCCGATGTACAACCCTCTATCCTCAACCGTTTCGGTGCCATCGAACAGCTACCCTGGCTAGGTGTTGCCTTTGCACTAGGCGGAATTTCCATCCTGCCTTGGGGTAAAGCTTACGGAATATTCAACATCAAATGGCTGTACATCTCAACCGTCTTGCTTTTCGAAATCGGAAGCGCCCTGTGTGCTGCAGCACCCACGATGAATGCATTGATCGTTGGCCGGGTGATCGGTGGTGTTGGTGGGGCAGGAATGTATTCTGGAACGCTAACTTATATCGCGGTTACCACTTCGAAGTTTGAGAGACCGATTTATATGGCTGGTGTTGCTATTGTCTGGGGTGCGGGAACGGTCTTGGGACCAGTTGTTGGAGGAGGCTTTGCGAACAGTGCTGCTACGTGGCGATGGGTATGTGGTAATACCTTTACTTGCGAGTTAATTGCTAATAATCTCAGGCTTTTTATATCAATCTCGTTATTGGCGCCATTTTCGCTCCTGATTACCTCTTCCTTCTTCCTAGCGTTGATCTCAAACCAGACACTTCGCTTATGAATAAGTTGAAGATGATGGACTGGATCTCTCTTGCCATTTTCTTCGGCGGAACTACATGCTTCACTATGGCGGTTAATTTTGGGGGTACAGTTTACGCTTGGAATTCCGGATCCGAAATCGCATTGTGGGTTATGACAGGTGTCTTACTGATTGCGATTATCGTCACGACAATTTATCACCCGGGCGTTACGAAGGAAAATCGAATGTATCCGGCACATTTCCTCAGACGTCATGTTCTTGTAAATCTACAACTACAACTTTTCCTTGTCTCAGGAGTCATGCTTGTAAGTCTTCTCCCAATTACATCTACTGATCTTATCTTCTGACTTTGAGTTACCAGACGACTGCGTACTACATTCCGTTATATTTCCAATTTACCAAAGGCGATAACGCTATCCAAGCCGCCGTTCGACTTCTACCCTTCATCTTCATGATCGTCACATTCTCCATTGTAAACGGAGTTCTAATGCCAAAGTTCGGGTATTACATGCCTTGGTACGTAGGAGGAAGCGCCTTAGTTGTTATTGGTGCGTCTCTGATGTGTAAGTCTCCCCTCCAAAACTCAAATGTAAAACTCCCTAATGTTCCTCCAGATACAATTAACGCCGATACCTCGGCATCCAGGATATACGGCTACACAGTCCTCATGGGCGTCGGGGCAGGAACCTTCCTCGCCTCCAGCTTTGCCGTCGTACAAGCCCTCGTCCCAGTACACGACCTCAGCAACGCCGTCGGATTCATGAGTGTCGCCCAAGATCTGGGTATCGTCGTAATCCTCGCCATCGCCGGGACGGTCTACCAAAACACTGCGATCAAGAATATCACAAAAGCCATTCCGGGCACGTCGAGAGACGACGTCTTCAATATCATTGCTGGGACGAGCAGTCCTGCGTTTACCGCGCTGCCACTGGATACGCAGACGGAGGTTGTTGCGCAGATTGTTAAGGCTATGAGTGGGGTGCGGGCGCTTTTGATTGCGGGGATGGCGTTGAGCTTTGTGTTGAGTTTGTTTTTGGGGGTGAGTTTTCTGGGTTGTGTGTGTATTTGGAGTTTTTGCTAATTTTATTACAGAGAGAAAAGTTGTATATGGAAGGTGGAACTGCTCCGCCGGAGGCATTGGACGGAGAGAAAGCATAGAGATGGTGGGTATATATATGGGAGCGGAATGTGGAGGATGCAAATTGCATGAACTTGAAAAGATGGTAGCGAGGTTTTTGGAGAAGGCATTTGGATGAGCATAGGCATGATAGTGTTTGCGTTTTGTAATAGGTATATAGGTCTTTATTTTTCAATTCTAAGGCATGATGGCATAATTTGAGAAAGTGTTCTACATCATAATTTGCAGAGGTAGAGGACTTTTCAAGGAGTCAGTTATCGTAAGGTGCAGTGGAGGTATTAGAAGAATTACTCTTAATTTTTCGATAGTCGAGCGAGTTGGGATATACTCATTGTTGTTATCATTCATATGAACTACCTATACGCGTCTAAAAAGATGTCTGAAAAGATCACTGTAATTTACCTGGTTATTATTCTATATATACTATGTATGTGAGGGTTGGAACCCATGATGGAGGCTCGGGCCATGCCCTCGCTAAGCACTGACCAAAGTCCTCGTTGAGCACTGACCAAAGTCCCTGCTTAGCACTGGCCATTACCCCACTGCCAAACAGGGTTCTACTTTTCCACACTTTCTTGTTTTGTTCTTCTGACATCATGTATTCGTCATTCAAGTTTCTTGCAAGTTTCTTGGAATATTCAGGAAGCTCTTCCTCTCTATATATAGAGGAAGAGCTCGCATGTATGTAGTCTTCACGCACTTCTTAATTGAATATTCGAAACCACACCTTTGAGCTATTCGAGGTCTGGCCTCTCACAATGTAAAAAGTTACTATTCTAAACTTGTAGGAAAAGTAAAACAATCGTATTAGTATACCTATGTTAATAAAAAGAAGTGGTAAGGATTATTTTAGAGTCTTTATATAACGTCTTTATATAACGGCTTTAGTTGTACGACCTTTTTAGGATACTTTATTCAAAGAAAAATGTGAACTGGGTGACGACCACGTCTCTTATAGTATAAGTATGAAGAGTCCAAGATAGGAGATCATTCTAATATTGAGATGTTTATGGTTAGAAACTTTATATTTTGATTACTGTATAATTGTATAATAAAAGGCATTGCTAGAAATCCGAGAAAAATTAGGCTAATTTGTAAAGGTTCTCGCCTCGCAGTCTCTGTCTTTGTCAAGTTTGTCCTACTTGAGTTGCAAGGGGGCGCCAAATGACAGGGGGCGGACTTCAACTCCGTTCAACCCCGCCGCTTAGCCTATTCGAGTCAAGGGAGGCAACTTCAGGAACGTTGGAGATCACGGGATGCAAGACATAAAGACAGGCGTTACATAAGGACGCGGAAGGCAGGTACTTTAATTCACGTCAAAGTGGCGGATGTACCTGACCGGCCCCGCCTCAAGAATCAGAAGTGGTGCTACTGAATGGTGCCATACTCCGTCTTCAACAAGACGGGGACAAGAAATACGGACGTAGTATGCCATCCTTACACGGAATGCATTTCCTACCTATATATCTAGTAATATATGTGATATGATTTGCAATAAAAGATCTGAATATGTTTTCAAGATTTGTTCAATACATTCAATCAGCAACATTTTCCCTTCTCACACTTTCATCAGCCCCAAAACCTACTACACCCACTGAAAAAGAAACCCAATCCTCATCAGAACATCCTTCCAAAATGTCTTATTTATTGGACCCCAATGCCTCTGAGACTGCTTCCAAACAGACCATCGCACCCCAATCTTTCCCAACCGTTGAACCGGCTTTTACTATCCAGGTACAAATTAGCGGAAAATACATGGTTGGTAAGTACAGATGCCATTTTCTGCATCGTTCAAAGCGGCTAACATAATGACAGGCGATGTCTTTACCGGTTCCACACTTGCTGCCGTGGTATGTAAGAAGTGCATGTATATAACTTTCAATTCCACTAATGAATTCCCCAGCCTTTCACAGCCGGCGTCATAAAGTCCGTTCCCTCATTCGAGAAGCAATTCGAGCTCGAAGTCTTCACCGGACAAGATTTCTTTTACATCGATGCAGATAAAAGCCATGCCAGATTCAACGTGAACGCCATTGCCAAGGATTCCAATGACGTGGCCGTTTCGGTGAAGCTTGCAGGCCTTACCAAGTTAACCGAGAACATCCAGGGGCTACTATTTGGGGCCCCTGAAGCGAGCACGAGCCCTTTTGGCTATGGTAGTATGTAAAACCCTTATGAGCGTTTTAGGAGAAATCGTTTATTGATGTTTTATAGTTGAAACCGTCTCTTTTGAGACTGGGCACCCTGATTACAGGTTTCTTGAGCAGAATATTTGGGCTGCTTCTCAGCGATTTGCTATCATTGATGGGGCTTTTGTTGTTCAGTTGAGAGTATCTAAGGTTAGCCCTGGTACTGGAATGGAGTAAATAGTTGGACACGCCCATTGAAATTCGTCGCTGAGTTATTGGGGCAATCTTTTGAGAAGGAAGACTTTTGTAAAGTGCATATCGCATCGCTTAGGATATTATTCAAGATAGCAAATAAAGAGAGCTTGGACTTGATGATCTTTCGCGTTTTTCGCAAAATATATGGTCTCTTTGGACCTCCCAAGTTACTTAACATGTATATCAAAGTACGGTAGAACGCCACTTGACAGTGGAATTCTTCTATTCCAAAGTATTCCACATTCTTTTAGCGACCTTTGATCATCTGGAAGTACTCCTCTACTTGTTAGATACGATTACTTAAAGTTCTCATACTTCCACTCCTTTAACTTGGGGTACGACCAGAATACTATGGGTTATCTCGAGATATTTTTCACCTAATATACTGGTTACCTCTCCTTACAATACCACATCTCTTATACCAACATTATCCCAATCTCAAACTTTGACTACCATGCGAGGTATCCTGTCTCGTTCAAATTTCCATAATACACCATTAATCTGGGACAGAATTCCGGCTCTGACAAAAACGCAAATCAATACGGACTTGGATTTTCAGCTTATAAAATGATCTTCATAACCTATGACAACTGTACCAACGGAGCGGGATGCCAAAGTGGCACAGTGGTTGAATGTGGACGCATTCGAATGCAAAGTCGCTTACGCCAACAACTCTGATTCGTCGTTTGGATTTCCGTGCCTGAACGGTCCGCCCAACACCGATTGCCATGCTGACTCCACATGGGAGGCCGGCCTTTGCAGGGCGTACTCCCATGTGGAGGTTGACTTTTCCGCTGGGCGGGAACTGGTTCGATTTTCCACTACTGTCTCCTCTATTTGCAGCGGTAAATTTCCGAGCTGCGCGATAGGATATACATATGCTGATATGGATCACTACTTCGTCTACAATACACCAACTGCCTTCAATCTTCATTTCTATTTTACAAAACAGTCAATAAAATGCTTTTTCACACTTTAACCGCCGCTACTCTCGTAGCAACCGCCATAGCAGCACCTAAACCTCTGTCAAGCTGCTCCGAAACCTCTGATCAGCCATGCAGATGCCCAGAAGGCACTGATTACATGACCGCAACCACATATCTTACAGTAGGCGCCAATGCATTCGATGTCCGCGAACTACTTGGAGATTGTAAGTTAAAACCTTTTCCCTTTCTACCCCAGTGTATCCCATTTAGGAACCGTTCTTGGCTGACTGGCTAAAACATAGTTTACAATCTGGACTGGGTGCCACAGAAAGTGGTAGATCCCACCGGTCCCGATAACAAAGTCGGCTCCACCCGTCTAACTGTCATTGCCATCGACGTCGGGATGTATGAATGGCTTGAGGAAGTGCGTCCTTCTTCCCACTTTTCCGATAGTTTGCTTCTAATATTCCTTCCAGCTGACACGTTACGAACCCGGACCTGATGGATCATTCCTGTGGGCTTTCAAAGTCGCAAATGGTTCGCCTTCCAAGCTTCCCTCCTTCTCTTCCCGCCACTAATCGAGCTAATAGTACCTCTCAAATTCCACGAGATCCCCGGCAGGTTCGCAGGCGAATTCATCTCCATGAAAACCGACGTCATCTCGTCGAACCAAACCCGGATCTCCTGGAACTTGTATGGCTGCCATTCAGGCGGTATGCATCGTAAGTCACCCGTTCATCGCCCTTATTCTCCAGCTCAATGTCATTTCTCGCGTGGCAATGTATCGTGTGACTAACGCTGAATGTGATCAAAGGATATTCCGAGTTCCAGCGCATGGTTCTTACACGTGTCAATGGACTGCTTGAAGAAGCGGGGAAGATTACGGGAGATAGCGAGGCAGCTTGGTCTGAGATTGGTGTGCCTAGGGGTATGACATTGGCTTCTGCTGTTGATTTTCCTACGAATACTGGTTCTCAGTGCCCGCTTACTGATGGTGGAGTTTTGAGGAAGCAACATCTTGGTAACGGTAATGCTTGGACTGTCTTGTAGAATGTCTAAACATCGACTGGGAAGGCACATTAGTATCCTCCCTATCCATTATTGAGATTTTGCCCTAGGCAAGATATGACCCGCCGAGTCTTGAAAGGGTGTTGTTAATTATTTGGAAGAGAGCAATAAGATCACAGGTTTGGGATAACGATATTGAATATCATAGCTTTAGATACACCAATAACAATTTCTAGTGTGGTTCACTTATGACTAATCTATTTGTGATAATTTAACTCAATTCTGTATTCAGGCAAATTAACCAAATATTCCTACAAAGAAGGAAAAAGGATTTTACTGTTCAGTACCTACAACTACCCCACGGCTGCCTATCACCCTTGCTCAACCGCCGTCACTGATTATATTAAGCGAATATTACTGTATTACAGTTGTGCGGCGGAGGCGGGGATACACTCCGCCCGACCCCGCAGCCTAGCTTCAAGCCACCTCGAGAATAATCTGAAATCCTGCCATTAGAAACATTGGTATTATGGTACCTAGGTATTGCGACTAATCTGGTATAGCTTCGAAGTCTAAAGGGACTACAAATGATAAGAATGCAGATTGAGTTTGGGTACGGAAGAGACTGGCTGACTACCCGTCATAGGGGCGTTGGCGAACCGTGAGAGTAATTAAGCGAGGACATGGGATAGTAATAAACCGCCTCCCCGCTTCAGCCACCAGTGTAAGCCGATTTTGTAAGGAGTAAGATTCAACACAGGCTTGAACTAACAATACACTGTATCAATTAGCAAATTAGATTGAAAAGCCATGTAAATATAGATTATATTTGATATCCCCAGCTAATTTGAGATTAATATTAAGGTCCATGCAAAGATAACCCGGCTTTTACCCACAAACCCAAAATGATATCGAGAAACGGCATATACATCATTTAATACTCCATAGTACCATCCTTCGGGGAAACGGTAGGTGCCCTCCCAAGACTTCCCATCTTCCTCTTCCTAGGCCCGTTCCTCTTCTCCGCCAAAAGCAGCGTAACCTCACTCATCTTGCCCCTCCAATGCCCACTAGGATCCCTAAAATCACCCATTACATTACGCACCAGTTGCAACGACGCAATGTTATTTTCTATATCGCCGTGGGAGGCCTTAACTTGGTCCATGAGGACCTCCGCCGCTTTGGAGAGAGGCCACATGAGGAATGTGCTTGTGTGTTGCCACATCTTGAACTATATCCATCGTAGATTAGTTTCAAGTTTCAAAAGATCCCTAAGTAAGGGGTTTAAGAGGGAGCTTACGTTTTTGGCAGACATATTTGGCACAATCCGAAGATCGTCCACCATTTGATTTGCTGCTGATATCAGTCGGTTCACACTCTCCGTAATCAAGCTCTTGGGCAAATTCTCTCTCTGTGCCTTGGCAATCGCAACCTCGTGAAGTGATATTCCAACAGCACACAAATTCAGCCGGAGGGCAAGCGCAAGAGGTTGGAGCTCAGTCATGTGTCCCATCAGATGATTCTCACATTCTTTCAACTTCTTGTCGAGACTGTAATGCTGGACCCAGAAAGGATAAGCCTGCGAGCCTGACAAATCTTGTTCTTTGGAAGCCTGGAAGTGTGGGAGACAACGAGAGTGTAGGGAGATCATGAGGACTATGCCAGCGAAAGGGGAGATAGGGTGTTTATCGGTGATATCTGATAATTTTTGGAGGAATGGCATTGGCGTCGAGGAATCCGTTCCTCGCGGAAAGCTAGCAGCTGGTAATGTGATAGATATCTGGATTTGTGAGTAAATAACATGTAAAATACGAAAGTATTACCTGATTAACAGCATCAAAAAGTTGGGATACATACCTCAGACTCGCAAATCGACATGGGAGAATTCGTTCTTACACTTGCGTAGGCATCGAAAATAAATAACACCCAGAAGGTCCTCCTCCTCTCTTCCAACTCCACCTGGTCTTCTGTTTCTGGGAGTGGAAGCTGGAAGCTGTCCGTCTCTTTCATTGGTTCACTTCGGTCTATTCTATGCAGTCCCACCATCTTTCCAAGTCTTACAGCTCGACCAAGAGACATCCAAGCCCTTGCAAATCCTGTTCCCTTAAACTCATACCAAATTGTCAAAACACAGGTTTGAAGTGCTTCCAACGTCCAAAAGTTGGCTCCTTTATCTTGGGTCTCAGTAATTTCCAAGTAGGTGCGCGATGAGGAGTATAATTCCTCTTCTAAGTAGGTGTGTTTCTCTGAAACCGAAGCTCCAAGCATGGCAACGGCATATGTGAGGCTCTTGAATTGGAGAGTGCATTGCTTAGCTGGATCATTCAGCGCTCGGGTGAAGCGATCACGGTCCAGAATGGGAATTAAAGGATGTAGGATGTCGAAATACTGTTCGAAACTGGCAACATTTATGTCAGATAAAGTATTCAAGTCAGGTTGGAAGCTTGCTTACAGCGTGAACATTACTTCTGATGAACATGGCTCTCTAGGGTCCGTTGATACCATTTGAGGATTACCAAGTAAACTTGTTTCCCAAGAGGAGCTTGAACTAGGATCCTTCAAGGAAACAGTCATGTCGATGTCCGTGTCTATAGTGCAGTTTTGCCTAGCGCCATACAACGTCAGTATGGGAATAATCTTCCAACTTTGACCAACACGAATGACGTGAAGTCTTACCAATCCGAATCATTCATCACCTGCGCAAAAATTGGATCGTGGAAATCTATGTGGGAAAAGGCGTTCAGACTTTCATCCGGCCCGGCAGAGCAGATCATAACCCCATTATCCACCCCACCTGTGTTTAACTGCGAAAAGTTGAAGTCGAAATCCAGCCGAGACAAGGAGTCAGACCACGGCGCCGCCTGGTTTATATCCGACTGCGGATGCTGATGTTGGTGTTGCACTGCAAGCTTCGCTTCGGCTTGTGCTACAATAATACGCATGAGTTAGCTCTTTATGTATTTCTATGAACATCAATGGATCAAAGGGTATATATGGGATTCTGTACGGGTTTTGTACGCAGAGGATTCAAAAAATATATGGATATATATATACCTAGCCGTGAATTTAGCGTCTCCAAGGCATGCGCTACGTCAAACTTTCCCGCTTCGTTTCTTTCCGAGGGGGAGGGGGAGTATTTGCATTTATTCCCAAATCGAATGCATCTGCCACAGCTAGGCTGGTTACGATCACATCGTGCTTTGCGCTCTCTGCAGATATCGCAGGCGACTTTGCGTGATCGAGGGGTACTAGTCGAGGTAACAGCACCGGTGGTATTGGTGTTCGACGCCTGCCCATTCCCATTTCCGTTGTCGATAGACTGGTGGTTTGGGGGAGAAATGGAAGCCATGTCTTCCATCACAGGAGCAAGGCTGTACCTGTAGTGCGAGTTGTCGTGGGAGGGAGTGGTACGCGAGGGTGGCACGCACGCATGGATGGCAGAGATTTACCGTGACATTTATTGGAAATAAGGTTATTGGGAATTATAGTAGTTGGGCGATAGGCGTACAAGTACAGGTACAGTACAGGACATATGATGCGTCTTATCTCGACGTTGATGCTGTGCCGCGAGCCTCTTTGTAGTAAGTTTATCAGAGGCTGAGCATTCCCGAGGTTCTCTCTCATACGAACAGGCCTGTGAGACTCGTTGGATCACGCTTTTAATCCTTCTCCTGCACGTGTCCCGTGGTCGTTCTGCCCCTGATTGGTTCGCTTGTCTATCCACGTTTTTGAGGCTTGAGAAAGCTCCGATTTCTGAACCGACTTTTCAGTGTTTACATAGCCTAGATTGCGCTTGTTCCTAATGGGGAATCTTAATACGAGTAAGAACATTCTCCACTTGGTCGAAATCTGAACCTCGCGATATGGCCACGCTACTGGTATGCCGCGTGTACTACGTTGCTACAGGATACAGTCATACCTAAAAAGGAACCCCATAAAATAATCTTATTAAAGTACATATCTTTTTAACTCTTGTGCTCGCTTTGTCATCCTTAAAACATTTGGCTTAATAATGATAGTGCTCGCTATTAGTACTTTTACCAGCTTTTTTTTTGTATCCCTTAGTGGAAAGGGGTTGTAACCGAAACCCAAGGCATGGAAGAAAATTGAAAAATAAACCCCCTCCCTACTTTTTGAGATCCTGTAGGAGTAAGACTATTTGAAACGCTCCTGTCTTGACGCTTTTGAAGGATATTACTAAACAATCATATCTTGCATTAGGTATGGATTTCGTAAGTAATGACGGGTCATATAACCCAATAACACGGCGGCATAGAACTAGGTCTAATAAGATTATCGCGTGGCAATTCCGAGTACCGTGGTAAATCGTCTTTGGTACACTAGAGTGGCGAAGTCGAGTGTGATGAAGTGCGGCAAGGTGTGAATTGGAGGCTCCTACTGGTTAGAAGTCCGTCTTCTTATGTACAGAGATTGCGATGAGTGAAGGCTTCTCATCGAGGCTCCTTCGTCCCAGTCGTCCATCCAGTCGGAGCCTACGGATAATCATAACTTTATTCACCACGCTAATCTAGCGTACTTGTTAAGGACGATCTACCACGGTACTATCGGGAGTCATTGCCAGAGTAAGTTTCAAAGGATCACTTCCCTGTAGCACCACTAACATTTAGGGATATCTCCTCGTGGAACGGCTGGTGTTGGGCCTGCGTAACGTGCGTAGCATGTGGAGTCTGTGGGGGTTTCAATCTCATCAACGTTTGATTCGTCAACCCCGCGTTCTTGGCTCCTGACTGGATCGTCCCGTTACACGAAATTCCACATTTCAATAAGGTTTAATGGAGGTGAGCGACTGTCATATGGCTGCATGCAACCTAAAATTCGACGGCACAGGGCTGCAGGCGAGAGGGATATTTTGACTTGATAGGTAGCTACTCTCAAATTAGGAAGGTACAAGCTTTGAAGATGACTCCTCCTGCGGCGGCCTACGGCAACTATCCGACAATTTCCTTTGCACCCACTCTTTTACTAGAGGCGTAGTTCTTGTTTGTTCCTGCTAAAGAGACAAAATTGCGGTTAAGGTCAAAGCTTAGAAGTCTTATCACTAATCAGGTTCTCTTCGTCGAATGATTAGTTACCAGAAACGAGCTAGTCTATGAAATAAACATGTGCATACATCAGGTTTCAGTCCCGGCTCGCAATTTATTGATGGATATTACGCTGGAAATAATTTTCAATACGTAAAACTGCCAGACTATGCGCCGCTTACTTCATCGTCAAAAGCTCTCGTTCCCTTCACATGTCCTGGAACCGCAACATAGTCCAGCTTACTCCCAGGGACCACCAAAGTAGCAGTATAGTCAGCCACTAGATTATCTCCCATCCACGGCGCAATCCATTTCGCAACAAATCGCATGATCACATTATCCCAAGCCTGCATACGTGTAAAGTAATAGGAAGCGGTGAAGATCTTCTTCACCCGCTTCTTATGTTGTTCTTGGTACCCTTGGAAGACAGCCGATATTATCGACTGGCTAAGCGGACGAATCGCAGAAGCATCAAGAGATTTGACTAGCTGGTTACATAGCGTGGCTGCGCCTTCAATGGCTGTGTTCCCACCAAAGGCAAAGTTAGGGGTAACTTTGTGTGCGGCGTCGCCTAGCATAACCATCCTCCCAAAATGCCAATGGTCGAAAACCACTTCTTCGAGATTGACCAGTTGGCTCCGGATTCGCTGCTTGTACAGCTCTCCGAAAGTGACGTCCTCAGTAAGAGCGCAGCTGGAGAGCTTCGCTGCCGCATTGTCTGCGTCTTGTTGGGTAAATTTAGTCCCTGACAGAGCTGCTGCGCCAGTGAGAGGTGTTTCGAGTTTTTGATAGATCAGAAAGCAGGTGCAGTCGGGCTGAGTAACTATTTGGAACGTGCGGCCTTGCCCGTACGTGACATGCATATCTGAGGTTGAATTGAGAGCTGGTATTGGAGTAGATACGCCAATGATGCAGGTATACTCTACTCTCATCGCTATCAGATAAGTTAGAAATCTATTCATAGTTTTTCGACTGCTTGGAGGTAGCCACTGCTTACAGTTCTTCTCGCGATGAGAGATAAGATTCGGCGCGAGCCTGTCTGCCATTTGCCAAATCTTTTCTCGAACCATGCTACGCACGCCATCGCAGCCAACGACAATATCTCCTTCCTCATAGCTTCCATCCGCTAATGTCACTCTAACACCGTTTTGTGTCTCAACAACATTGGTAACTTTTTTTCCAGTAAGAACTTTCGATTTTTCTGGTAGGTTCTCATACATGATTTCCAACGCCAGCCGCCTTTCCATAGATCGAAACTCGTACCCATGTCTATAGCTGATCAGCCTTCTGCATATTTTCTCTGTTCTAAGGTGGAAACTCATACATACCTCGTCTGAATATAATCCCACAAAGTTGTACTCGACAAAGCTTTCCCGTTAGGCATCCGACAATGACTTTCCACCATAGCATCACTTCTCCTCAACATATCTTCTCCACAACCCAACTGGTCTAGAACCCTCATTCCATGTGGCCAGAATCCAATGCTTGCCCCAATAGGGGCTGCAACCTGAGAGTGCGCCTCCAAAACAACGTGATCTATCCCCGCTTTTTGGAGACAGTGAGACATGGTAAGTCCCGCAATCCCACCCCCCACCACCACAACTCGAAAGGGCTTCGGGGCTTGTTGATTCATGGTTATATTCGTGGGGGAACTTTCGAACAAGAATTGTGGAATAGAAAGTGCGAGTTAGGAAGCCTTATGTGGATTAGTAAAACGTACTTTGGGGATAGCAATCCAGCCAGATACTACTCAGGTGAGAACATGGCTTGCGATTTTATTCCCTCACCCGGCCGGCCCTTTGCCTCTTCGTAAAATGAAGCCTGGCGGGGACATGATCCATAACTTCCTTGCGCACGGCAGTCGAGTCATCATTGTCCCGTATGTGTAGTCAATGAAGTCCGGAGGGAAGTGGGACGGCACGCTTTACGTACAGTACCGGGTCTTACACTGCGGAAGCTCAGGGCGGGCCGTTCAAGTCCGCCCTCAAGGCGTAATAAGGCGCAAGACAATTATACGGCCGTACCGTGCCGCACGCTAAGCGACTTCCCAGTTATCGGCTTATGCCCCATTGTTTCTTACAATTCCATAGGTACCACGAGCAATGTAACGCCGAATAATGGATCCACCGACTGCAAGTCCCTCTTCAGGTTGCGAACCTGTTGATCAATCATTCCACTGGTTCAAGTTTAAAAGCGACAGACTCCAAATATTATAGTACTGTAGCAACATCATCAACACGCTGAATATTTCATCATCAATTGTTAATCAACATTCCAAAATGCCTTCAGTTCTCATCTTCGGTGGCGGCGGTAACTTGGCCAAATTCATCACAGAACGTTTGATCAAGAAAGATTACACAGTATATTCCGTCATCCGGCAACAAGAGCACATCCCCACTCTTCAACAACTTGGGGCTGAACCTATCGTCCAATCTTTGGAAGAATCCTCGGTGGCTGACCTCGCGAGTATCATCAAATCCAAGACACCAGATACCATCATCTTCGCAGCAGGAGGCGGTATGCGGGCAATGAAAGACCCGAGTGTCAGTGAGAGAGTTGACCGCGACGGAGCGATCAAAGTGTTTGATGCGGTGGCGGAGGCGGGATGTACCAAACGTCTCATATTGATTTCTACCATTGATGCGAGAAATCGCAATACGAGTGCGCCTACTTGGTACACCGCAGAGGATCTGGAGACTTGTACGCAGTTATGGGGTATGTTACCGGGATACATGACGTCCAAGTATGAGGCGGATAAAAATCTGGTTAAAGGGAATGGGAAGCGAGGGTTGGAATATACGATTGTTAGACCTACATGGTATAATGAGGGTGGATGGACTGGAAAGGTGGCAGCTGGAAAGGTTGGCACGGCGCCAAAGGTTAGCCGTGAGGATGTTGCTGATGTGTTTGTTGAATGTGTGGAGGATAGTGGTACTATTGGGACGATTTTTGAGGTCAAAGGTGGTGATGTTCCTGTCAAAGATGCTGTAAGACGTGTTGCTGCGGACAAGATCGATGTTTTTGAGGAGTGTTACAGATGAGCTTTCAATTGGGGGTTAAGCAAACTATTAAATCTGGTCAAATCTCACAAGGGATATCAATTGTGATGACGTGAATGCTATGTGTCGTATCCTGTAGCTATATAAAGTATATACGGATTCCAAACCCTACAAAAAGACCCATCCCTACTAAATAACTCCAAAAGCCAAATTTGTGAATAATTCAACGGCATAAGACAAAAATACCACCTAATTAATCAATAACGACAGAAATGCCACCTATATGCCATGTCACTGGTTCACTAGTAAAATTACTAGTAAAGTAATGTCTATATCATCCGTAGCATTTCTGTCGTGAAAAAAGGGGTATATCTATCGCTAAAAAGTGGCATTTTTATTATTATTATTATTATTATTCCTTTTAACGTGCTGTGTGAGTCTGAGACTATAGTAGCACGGCTGGGGGTTTCCCTCCAACAGATGAGTAAAGCTGTACTAAATACATGTTTGAGAAGAGGGTTATGGTCATTACAGTTCTTGGGTTGTTGGAAGCAGCTAGGCTTCTGGTTATGACAAAAGAAAAGTTGTTATGTTGT